AGTAAGAATGATAGTAGAAGTAGTAGTAGTAGTAGTAGTAGTAATAGTAGTAGTAATAGTAGTAGTAGTAGTAGCAGTAGTAGTAGTAGTAGTAGTAGTAGTAGTAGTAGTAGTAGTCGTGGTGGTGGTAGTAGTAGTAGTAGCAGCAGCAGCAGCAGTAGCCATGCTGCGCCGCGGCGCAGTCAGATCATCAGAGAAAAACTAAGACATGTGTCTCTCGTGCATGGTATTCAGTGCATTCAGTGCTTGGTATGGCGGCCCTTGTACGCACCTCTGGCAGTCAAGCATCTCCAGGGGAGACTTGTCGTTGTAAATGCGGGCAAGCTGGTGTTGTGTCTCCACCTCAATGAACCAACATTACTAGCAGAAGAACCTGTGGGATATGGTAGTTTGGCAAAGAGCGGGGCCCAAGTATAGACCCCAAATAGTATAGCCCTTATTATAGGGACCCCCCAAAAGGGTACCGTTGATTTCAAGAAACGCGATATGACCCTGCACCTCTAGTCGTCATTTTTAAGTACGAGATCATGCTCGACTGCTTCAGGCTAAGTACAGCTGCCAACTGTTCCCGTGGACCGTCCCTGACCCAACCAACTACATGCGCTGGCTCCACTTGGTTGCGCTTCCAACCCGGTGAGGGTTTGATGCTTTGCTCCCTTACTATGAAATAGAGGCTCCAATAGTTTTAAAGTCCTGAAGTCGTGATACAGCTCCTCCTAGCCCCACAGAGGCTGGCCGCCGAACTGGTCTTAGAATTTCGGGTGTAGGCGTTGTTACCCAGCTAAGGACCCAACAGCAAGGACCTACCAAGCCATCTCACCGTCTAGTTAGACTCCTTGGCCAGAAGGCCCCAAGCCCTCCTCTACTTGCTGATGGTTAAACGTGGAGTGTGGATCCCCATAGCTATCCCAATATCATACCATTGTATATGCCTAGTGGTTGTATTGCCTATGTTCACTCCGCCTCACCACCCCCACCCCCAACGCACCAGCAAGTCTACGAAACTCAGGCGTTGTTACCCTAAAGCCAGAAGCCGACCCAGCCCTAAACTGCTAAGCCTATGAAACTCAGGCGTGGACCAGAAACGGGTTGGTCTTTCCCTGGTGGCCCACATCGTGGCACAGAGCAGCCAGTAGCAGCGCGTACTGCAGGGGTCAAGCTTTAGGGTTTAGGCAGAGAATTTACAGTCCTGCTGTTGTGAGTACTGCTACTGCAAGTGCTATCACTAGTTTTAAAGTCACTTTTACTTTTGTTACTCAAAGACCTTATGAAAATTCTTACTGCTATTGTTTTGCATCATCATTATGTTTGGTAATAATATGAGCACCGACTGAACATCATCTAGTCTCACTCAAACTTTACACGGATTATTATACGGCTAATGGAAAAGAAAGTAAGCTGAACGGGTAAATGTATACATATGAGCTACAGTCGATGTTTCCTTACCAAATTAATGGACATTGGTTTTTATTAGGGCGTGGATTAGGGACTGTATTGAAGCACCACCCTCAACCCTAAACAATGGACATGGGTTCTTATTAGGGCATGCATTAAGGACTGTCTTGAAGCACCAAAAAGATCCCCATGCCCACCATGAATGATCCCTTGGCGCTAGCTCACATTTTTTTCGATTAGGGTTTTGAAGGCAGCAACCCCAGGGAAGCGTGTTTTGAGTACGAAGCGCAAAGATGCCAGAAGCATATCGCAGCAGTTTCGGAGGGGTGCATTTACCATAAGAGCTTGAGGCCTCATTGATGGGGTCAATGCTGGCGTTCCAAGTGAGCTATATCTATAGTACTGCCCTATAGAATCTGCCAGATAACCCCCTTTAAGGACTTTAGACCCTAAACTCCAAACCTATAATGACCCCTTCAAGAAGGTTATATAATCCCCTATGTAACCCCCTTTAAGGAGTTTACACTGTAGCTCAAGTGGAGGGGGGGGGGGGGTAAGCCTAAACCCTGAACCCTACAGGGCGCCTGCTCAACATTTGAGAGCCACGCATCTGTCTGGTTGATGTCCATGAGCCTGCAGCGGTCGGTTTGGGGTTTAGGGTTAAGGGTTTAGGGTTTCAGGTTTAGGGTTCAGTTTTTTAGGGTTTAGGGTTTTAGGGTTTAGGGTTTTAGGGTTCTGTTCAGGAACAAAACTTAAGTTACCACAATGGGTGTATATATCTTCATATATATAGATATGGAATATATGTAGGGTATATGAGCTACGGTCGAAACTC